TTTTATTTCCTGGTGAATTTTTGAAAGTTGAGCCTTTTTGAAGAAAACTCCGAGGTAGGAAGGATATCTTTGTCGTGAATTTAGTGAACTGCCTTATATATCACACGTTCTTTTTTATTATTTCAATCAATGCTTGTTTTCCTAGGGACCCTATTTATGTCACAGTTCGTTTGGTGCAGGAGGGATATAATCATCCGAGTAATTCTACTTTTCTCGGAATATTTGTCCTTGATGAGATTTTCTAATAATATCAATTATCGACGGGGTTGATCTCTCTGAGGGGTATTACAAAACATCCGCCATTGAGTTTCCAGTCTCTTTTCGGGAAACTCATTCCGGATATAGCTTGTTCGGGGACAGATAACATGATTCCTCAACATTTACTGCGACACGGGACCCGTGATAGACCGGGTTTTTTCAAGTGTTACCCCTCATGAGGTGTGTGAATGATGAAGTGCCTGGTGTTATACATCAGATTACCATCGTTAGAATTTCCCCCGTGAGGTCCCTAGTTTTGGAATTCGATGCTCTGGTTGTCATGGCTCCATGTAATTAAAAGATATAGTTAAATATAATTAATTAAAAGATTGATGTTTTTTTAAAATATAGAAGCGTTGAAATAATAAATAATTCAATAAGATTGAGATCAAATTATATAGAAATTAATTGTATAAATTATAAACAATAATAATACAATAATAACAACAAATTTATAATAATAACAAAAATAATACTAAATAATAATAATAACAATAAAAAAAGAAGAAGAAAACGATGATAATAAAAGTTTTGAGATGAAATATTAATGTAAGGATTAAATAATGATAATAACAAATATCTAGAAGATTCGCTAATGGTATGTCAAACAAGTATAGTATAAACTTTTATTATTCAATTGGAAACCACATACAAAAGATATTTTAATCAGGTTATAAATTGTTAACATAATTACATTAGTTATCTTATTCAAATAATGCTAATACTTGTAAATGTTGTCAGATATTCATGATTATAACTTATATTAACAACAAATCAAGTTTCTTTCATAACTCAAGTGATAGTTATACCATACGATATAGATTATGAAAGTGCCAAGTATTTGTTGTATCAAGTGTTATACAATATAAATCTAGATTAATCATTTAACAAGCAAAGTATTAAAGAGTGAACAAGATAACAAATACAAAACATGTTAGTATCAAACATTAAAGTCCATGTTAAGTTTACACTACACTTATTCTTACACCATTAGTGTAACCTTCATAATAAATTTAACTAGGCATAATGAAAGGAAAATAAATAAATAAATAAAATAAAAATATAATTAAGATAAAAGTTAACTAAGTAAAAGAAATAAAATGAAAGGTATAAATTTGATATTAATAAAAACAAAACATAAACAATACAAAAAATACAAAGAGAGAAAGGAAAAGCGTGATCTTGATCTGGAAACCAAGATGCCTAAATGCATGGAAAATGCCTCCTTTTATAGGCCAAAATTAGGAACTATTGATTTGATGACTAATTGATGAGTGGGTGGCCAACTCTTGACTTGGTGACAATCCTTATCTTCTCTTGTCTGCCCAAAACGTCATTGATAACGTCAAAACTGGAGCCAGTTGCAAACATGAAAGTTGTAGGAAATTGTCTCAGCGTTCTTGTGTAAAAAATTCAGCTCATTTGGACTTCTAGAACTCCAGATATGGCCAAAATCTATATATGGATCAAAAATTAAACAATGTTCGGGTTGCAAGACAGATTTGGACTTCTTCGTTGCTGCTACAATTTGAACTTGAAAAATGACCCTTTTAAATCTTGGGCTCCTATGAAAGTTATAGGCCTATGTTTTATCTTTTCATCTATATAAAATAGATATAAATTTGAGATCTACAGCTCCAGATATGACCCAATTACCGAATAGTGTTCCGATTTGGACTGCACCGATATCTCTTTTTGAAATTTGACCATCTTTTTATTCTTTCAATTTCAATTTTTAAACTCATTAATCAATCCTTTCATTTATGTGATAGGCTTGCATTTAAAATTAATACTTACCTTAAATTAAAAATATCTTAAATATATTATCATAAAATATATTTTAATTAATAAATTATTTATACTTTAAATATAAAATATTAATATAAAATTTTAATAAAATATATTTTAAAATATTAATCAAATATTCTTATTATCATAGCTCCATGGACACAAATAGGAGGTTGTTGAGCATTTAAGAAGGAGGTGATATCGAGAATTGGTCGCCGCTTCAAGATTCTGACAAGGGAGATCGGCCATCGAATTCTGGCCCATGAAAATGTCCGAAGCTCACCTTTGTTACATACCGAATGATTGTGTCCTCATCATTGGCTGGCTATTGAATTCAGGACACCATTGTGACCGGAGGCTCTTCGTCCGCAGAATTTCAAATATCATCTCAGGGCAGTTGAATTTCCCAAGATGTCCCTTGTACAGATCCGATGCCTTTTCATCTACAAAACTTGAAGTTCATTTCGAAGCAGTTGAATTTTCCCAAAATGTTTCCGATTGCAAACCCAAAAGATTGTGGCAGCACATATATCTACTCTTACCGCCGTCCTCAGTGAACATTACCACAGCAGATTGATGGAGGTCCCTTCTTCAAACAGTATTAATTTCCTCTTTCTGACCCATCCTCTTCGCACCAGCACCCAGACTATGTTAGGGCCTCACAATTCACGCGTTTAACTGTGTTATGATGGCCATGCCAGAACTGCCACAGCAGGCTGTTATGCCGGTTTTAGCATGGAGATTAACTTATTCTGAAGCATATTGCACGGTGTCATTTGCCTCATATAGTGCCCAAACCATGTGTTATCTTTCAAGGGAAGGAAAAGATCTGTCTGATATTGATATTGCACCTTTTCAGGGGCAAATAGTGGCGTCATGAAGAGAGTATTTGTTGCTTTACCTAATATATCACCCACTCATGACCCCTCATTTAATCTTTGATTGCTTGATTCTTGACGGTGGACAGATATAATCCACACAAATTTATCAGGTAATTATCAAAACACAAGATGAGGAGGAATAAAATTAATATGTTAGATAATTAAAAAAATTAGAGGGTTGATAAGAGGTAACAAATGATACTTGCTAAGTTAAGTAATCCATCATTATGATAATAATAAGGTGATATATGGAAAATTAAGTAACTAGTAGTTATGGTAATAGCAGATAATATCTAGTAATTCAAGTATATATATATAAAAAGTATAATAATATTTTAGAAAGATAGACTCTAAAAATATAAATATTAAGAATATTAAGAATTGAAAAGATTGTGAAACTTTGATTTGAAAAATTAATAATATATTTATATTTCATGAATTTTATGGAGAAAAAGAATTACAATATAATTTTATTATTATAATATTTTTAGTGAATTTTACTCCAAACAATATTAGTGTTAAATTCATGTAAGGTATTTAAGCTAATTAAAAATAAAAATAAATTTAAATATATTATTTAAATTCAAATATATTATACTCGAGCTATCATGCTCGAGCTTATAAAAGCACTGGGATGCATGCCTAGCACCCTTAGTTCTGGGCAACACCTCCAATGCATTACATCCATGCACTCACGCTTTTTTGAGCTGGGCTCGGGATATGTACCTGAGCTCATGTTTTTTCAGATTTGTTTTTTTTTTTTTAATTTTTTAATTTAATCTTATTTGGATTGAACTTAAGATCATTTTTCTTCCGTCTTCGCTGATTAACATTCTTAAAATGATTTTATTTCCAAGAAAGCAGCAAGCTCCCCTTGTCCTTGTGTGCGGTGTTATTGCATTTTTGTCCCCAGGATACCCTGACCTTACATAGCAAATTTAGTAGACCCAATTCAAGAAATCTTCTATTATTTCAGGAGTAATTCTTATTTTTATTTTATGGAGAGAGATGGATACAGAAAGAAAGCAGAGAACAACATCCGTATGATAATAATATTTTTACTTAATTATAAAATATTTCTTCTTTAACATACTCTTCTCTCTGCTATTGGCGACAAGTGAAAACGCCATTGTTGATTTTCATCAGTTGAAATTTACAGCAGAATAAAACTCGTAAATCATGCACGTAGCAATCAACTAATATATATTCAACCCGTCTTCAACACATGATAGCATGACTAGCTATGAATTAATACCTTCAAATAATCAGAGACTAAAACACTGAAAAAATCAAACAGCTTTCACGTGTCTATTGATGATAAACTCATATGTCGAAACACTGCATATTTTAGGGAGGGATCGTGCACGATACAGTCCTTTAATCGAGCTGTTAAGAGCATCAATTTTCTGTTGGGGTTTTGTGTTATAGGACGTGACAGCAGCATGGGCTTGGCGTAATAGGGGGTGCAAAACTTTAACTAAAATGGTGGCTCGCACATTGAATCCCAGATTTTTTTTTCCTTTTTTCTCCTCTAAATTTATTGTTTACTGCTCTTTTCTGTTGCACCAAAATGACAACTCTATTCGGTTTATAAGCGAGCAACGCACTGATATCTTGGACTTTTGAGAAAAGTTTAGGTTGGAAACCTGGCATTTTAGGTTGATTCACGAGAAATTGTTATCCGCCTCGGATATGTAATGTTTTCTTTCTTTTCTCTTCCAAGCTCTGAAAGTTGTGGTGCTGCAAAAACCATGTACTGTATTTTATAAAGCGAGAGATTTATTGTAAATTAACCACAAGTTTCAGTAAAGTGAAGTATTTATGAGGAGCTAGCTAGTAGGTTTAAAGAGATAAGAGCAGCTAGCACAAAGTTTTCTTAGCTGTGCACAGTTGAGAGCTCATTGAATGTAAGGCAATGTCATCCGGTTGATGAATCTGGTGTGCACGTTACCATATATCCTTTTCAAACCATAAACAAAAGTCATCTCAAGAGGGTCCCTAACCTCATGTGATGCCCTTAATTTGGTGTCGGAGAGGCTTTGAAATAACTCCTTGGCAACATTATATAATGAGTCTTCAGGGGTAACGAGCCCTTCATGCTCTGTATCAACAATACTAAAAGGAGGCTTATTACAGCTTCTGAGTTTGGCATCTGAGTGTTGGTGTTCCCAATGCGGATTCTCCCCGTTTTTCGAGGATCACTTCTGTGCTTCTACGTGTCCTTACTCTTTGCTGCAACTTTCTGCTATGCCGGTGACAAGACAGTTGAGGTAGATGGGTTAGCAGAATGTGCAGATTGTGCAGAGAGTAACATTAAGACCGTTCATGCCTTTTCAGGTAAACATGTTTTTTTGGCAAATTTTAGGGGTGCAGTCATTTTGTGACATCAATCGTAGTCACTATTATGTAACTTTTGTTGATCCTATCTATATAAATGCGTTGTCCTTTCCAAGGTCACACAGGCTTGTGGCATGATCAGCTAGACATTGTGAATTGTGACTGGCATATCTTGCAACATCTGGAAGGTGATGATAATCTGATGCAATATTTTTTGCAGGGCTTCGAGTGACAATTGATTGCAAGCCTGAAAATGGAGAGTTCAAAACAAGAGGGTTTGGTGAGCTTGACGAAGAAGGGAATTTCAAAGTGTCTCTTCCAAGTGATGTTGTGAAGGATGGGAAATTGAAGGAGGAATGCCATGCACAGCTTCACAGTGCATCAGCTGCACCATGCCCGTCCCACGATGGCCTAGAGTCCTCCAAGATTGTCTTGAAGTCGAAAACTGATGAGAAACACACATTTGGGCTTGCAGGGAAACTGAAGTTTTCACCTGTGACTTGCACTTCAGCATTCTTGTGGCCTCACTTCAAGTATCCACCACTACCTAAATTGCCTCCATTGCCTAAATGGAAACTTCCACCATTGAAAGATTTTCACCATCCTTACCTTTTCCCACCTAAAGTCTTTCCTCCATTCCCCCCGAAGGTCTTCCCACCTCTCCCACCAAAGGTCTTCCCTCCAAAGCCTTTTCCTCCACCACTTCCAGCCTACAAGAAGCCACTCCCACCTCCAGTTCCAATCTACAAGCCAGTGCCAAAACCACCAGTTTTCAAGCCACCTCCGGTCCCAATCTACAAGAAGCCACTCCCACCTCCAGTTCCAATCTACAAGCCAGAGCCAAAACCACCAGTTTTCAAGCCTCCTCCGGTCCCAATCTACAAGCCCAAACCACCAGTCTTCAAGCCCCCTCCCGTTCCAGTCTACAAACCAAAGCCAAAACCACCAGTGTTCAAGCCTCCTCCTGTCCCAATCTACAAGCCAAAACCACCAGTCTTCAAGCCCCCTCCCGTTCCAGTCTACAAACCGAAGCCAAAACCACCAGTCTTCAAGCCCCCTCCTGTTCCAGTCTACAAACCAAAGCCAAAACCACCAATCTACAACCCTCTCCCACCTCCTGTTCCCATCTCCAAGCCTCTCCCTCCAATCCCAAAGATCCCTCCATTTTATAAGAAGCCATGCCCCCCTCTTCCCAAGCTTCCCCCTCACCCCAAGATTCCCCCAATCTACAAGCCTAAACCACCAGTCTTCAAGCCCCCTCCTGTTCCAGTCTACAAACCAAAGCCAAAACCACCAATCTACAAGCCTCTCCCACCTCCTGTTCCCATCTCCAAGCCTCTCCCACCTCCTGTTCCAATCTACAAGCCTCTCCCTTCAATCCCAAAGATCCCTCCATTTTACAAGAAGCCATGCCCCCCTCTTCCTAAGCTTCCTCCTCTTCCTAAGCTTCCTCCTCACCCCAAGATTCCTTCAAAGTACCTCCACCACCCCAAGTTTGGAAAATGGCCTCCCTTGCCACCATATTCTCCCATTCATTAGGCTATATTGCAGCTTTCTTACCTGCAAGAATGATGAATGCTGCTTCTCCCAATTATTTATGACTGCTAGTGTGAAGTTCTCTATTCTGTACTGAAATAAACCCTTCAAGATAGGGAAAGAAAGCAAAAGAAGACATCATGGGGAGTGAAGAGCGGGGATTGTTATTTACTAATTATTACCTATGTTGCCAATGAAGTCAAATTGATTGTCTCTGTGAATTTCCTCTTTTCTTATTGACCTGTAAATTTCATCTTTCAATGCCTTTGCAATAATATTATATGTCATTTCTGTTAGAGTACTAATTCACTTACACTTGCATGTTGCACTGCTGCATGATGGCAAGCCAGCAGATAACTTTAACTAATTAGTCGAATGTCTTTTTCTAAAACCCCAGTAATAATTTCTTGTGTACTGCATCCACTAGCATGATCAGCTTGAGTTCATGTGTGTGTACCTAATCTGAGATATGGACTCGTCCCATTACCATATATAACTCATTTTGATGTTCAAATTAACAACTAGTGGTAGCAAAGATACTGAATTTGAAATAGGCCTTGCCCATTATCACAACTCGTTTTGATGTTCAAGAACTCCCAGTTTTTGGTTGCTAACATTGACACTTTGGGCTACTTAAAAAAAAGGACAGAATGCTCTTACAGGCTAAAGAGACTAAAGAGAGCGATAATGGGAGACAATTTCCATGTTTTGGTTGGCAGCTGAGCATTGACTGGCCTTTCTTTTTATCATATGGAGTATGGACCACATGCACGCAGCACAGGCAAGAGTGTGGTGCCAAAGGAAGAATCAAACCATAATCTTAGCAATCTGGTTAGCTAGAAACAACCATGAATCAAGCATTAGAAAGGTTCTTGATGGGCGTTACATGCCTCTGTAGTAAATTGAAGTGGAATACATCAGTACTACTGCGTCTGCCGAAGGAGGAAGGATTCGGCCATGGTCAGCCTGAGAGCTTCCTGTCCGTGCAAAGAGTAGCGTATGGGGTCCGAATTGAAGGATCCGATCATATATTTTTGCAAGAGCGGTGGGTTTTTTTGCAGGTGTAAATAAGCCTGATAAACACGTAGTTTTTTTTTTTCTTGGCGTCTTGGAGTTTGGCTGGTGTGATTTGTGAAAAAAGACTTGCATTTTAGATCATAATTTAAAAGTTGTTTTCTTATAAATAATTTATGATAAAAATAAGTCTAAGCTATAAGCTATTCGATTAATTAAAACTGATTTAAATTAAATTCTTGGAACAAGTTAGGTAGTGTAGAATCCATAAAACTGATTATATCAAAATTTTGACATAATTAAGTGATAATAACTTTATTTAAGTTAAAAATCATTCCTAATCAAAGTTATATCAATTGTTTTTTTTTTTTTAAAAAAATCATACCTTAGTTTGTACATTGCTTATGTCAACAATAGTTGTCATCAAATATATACTCTGTCCAAGTATTGAAAGAACCTGAGTATTTTTGTTTGTTTGTTAAAAAATAATTTGTTTTTAATAAATTCTGGAAAAATAAATTTTTGTTTGTTTACTAGAAAGTAGTATTTTTTTTTAAAAAATAAATTCCAGAAAAGTGAATTACTTTTGATATTTGGTAGTGTAATAAAAGATAAGTTGTAAAACAGTTTCCAGTGTTTGGTTATGTCATGAAAAATGAGTTAGAAAATAAATTATTAATATTTTATTTTTCTCAATTTTATTAAAATAATAAAGAACAAATCTTACAAATTAAATAGTTGAATAAGAATGAAATTGAAAAAAATAATTTCATAAATTATCTCAAATAAAACAAATAATAATCAAAATAATAGAGATCAAATCTAAAAAATTAAAAAATTAAAATATGAGAAATTAAAATAATAATAATAATCAACATTTCATAAATTATTTCAAATAAAACAAGTAACAATCAAAAGAAAGAGGATCAAATTTGATAAATAAAAAAAGATAAGAAAAAATCAAATAGCAATTATAAAAATAAGGATCAAAGTTAATAGAAAATTAAATTTTAAGAGATGAAATTGAAAAATAAATATTTAAAACAAAATATATATAGCAATCAAAAGTTTAAGGATCAAATTTGTATAATCAGTAAATAATGATATTTCTAAATTTTTTACAACTTTCAGAAAGTATTTTTCGCTTAAATTTTTCAGGAAAACACTTTTTTAAAAACCAAGCCAATTTTTTCTTTGACTGGAAAGTATTTTCCATTGACCAACTTTCATAACAGCAAACAAACACAAGAAAGTTTGAAAATTGATTTTCCAGAAATTACTTTCCAGAAAATAAACACAGCTAAATAGAAAAATATTTTCCTGAAAACCAAGTCAAATTTTTTTAACTGAAAAGTATTTTTCATTAACTAGAAAGTATTTTTTGTTGACAGGAAAATATTTTTCATTGACTGGAAAATGTTTTCAGTTGACCACCTTTTCTAATGGCAAACAAATACAGAAAAGTTTGAAAAATAGTTTTTCAAAAGCTACTTTCCAGAAAATAAACATGGCTAAAAAAGTTGTTTGAAATACAGAACTAAACACGCTTGTTTTAAAAATATTTTAATATGTTAATTTCAAAAATAATTTTTTAAAATTAAAAAAATATTATTAACATATTTTTTTAAATAAAAAATATTTTAAAAAGCAATCAAAACCATTCTCAAACACATTTTTATTAATAGAGCCTCCAAAAAATCCGATTGACTACAATATATTTGACACTTAATGATGAACAATCATAACATTTATTAATATCATTCAATTATTTGTTTCTCATTATAATAATAAAAATGATATTGATTGTTGTTTTTCATTATAATAATAAAAATGATATTGATTGATTTTTAAAATATTTTTTTATTTTTAAAAATTTATTTGATAGCTGTATATCAAAAAAGATACAAAAATATAAAAATATTTAATTTTAAATAAAAATAAAAATAAAATAAAATTCCCTTCATGATATTTAAATTTCACATCTTAGATGCATGGAAATAACCCAAAAAAAAAAAATTAAATATGTTTGAAAGTGTAGTTGTGGTTATTTTTTAAAATATTTTTATTCTAAAATATATAAAAATAATATATATTTTTAAATTATTTTGATATTTACATGTCAAAAAATATTTAAAAATATTTAATTTTAAATAAAAAAATAAAATTTCCTTTATGATATTTTAAATTTCCCATCTTAAATGCACGGAAATAATTGAAGCTAAAAGTATTGTCTAAGAGGAGGCCCTGTTAGCTGTTATTTTAGCGGAGACACTGCCGAGGTCCATACAGGCCGAACTGAAAAAAACGGTGCAATTAATTATATTTATTAAAGAAATGATGGTCCTTTGGCTAATTAAGGACTGCTATACCAATCCATACAAGTTGCAGTCTGGCTATGCCATTGAAAAGCAATTTGATTGCAGCTTGTTGTCTCCTTCGAGGATTATTAATTAATAATTTGATTACATGAACGAATAGTTGAGACTAAGGCCGTTTGTTTGTAAAAAAAAAAAAAAAAATTAGAAAATGAATTTAAAAAAATAAATTTCAGAAAAATAAATTATTTTTTAATATTTAATAGTATAATAGAAGATAAGTTAAAAAAACACTTTCCAATATTTGGTTATGCCACAAAAAATAAACTGGAAAATAACTTATTAATATTTTATTTTTCTCAAGTTTGTTAAAATAATAAGTAACAAATCTTATAAATTAAAAAGTTAAATGAAAATAAAATTAAAAAAATATAATTTTATAAATTATCTCAAATAAAATAAATAATAATTAAAATAATAAAGATCAAATCTAAAAAATAAAAAAAATTAAAAGATGAATAAATTAAAATAATAATAGTTAACATTTCATAAATTATTTCATATAAAATAAGTAACAATAAAAAGAATGATGATCAAATTTGATAAATATAAAATTTTAATGAAAATAATAAGAAAAAAACAAATAACAGTTATAAAAATGAGGACCAAAGTTGATATGAAAATTAAATTTTAAGAGATGGAATTAAAAAATAAATATTTAAAACAAAATATATATAGCAATCAAAAGTTTGAGGATCAAATTTGAGATAATCAATAAATAATATGATATTTCTAAGTTTTTTACAAGTTTCAAAAAATATTTTTCGTCCAAATTTTTCAGAAAAACACTTTTTCTAGAAACGAAACCAAATTTTTCTTTGACTAGAAAATCTTTTTCATTGACCAACTTTTTTAATGATAAATAAACATAAAAAAATTTGAAAAATAATTTTTTAAAAACCACTTTCTAAAAAACAAATATAGCTTAAGTATTAAACACCTTTCGACTTGATTATATGACCCATCCAACCTATTTTTGGACCGATTTAATCAAATAATTTAAAATTTAAAATTAAAATTTACAATTTATATAATTTTTTATATTATTTATCTTTCATGCTAATATTTATTTACTTGAAAGTTACATGGCTTCTAGCAGACATGTTATCCTCATCCACAAAACCATGTCTTGCATGCTAATTAATTAAAAAATAAGTTAAAAATCACGAGGAAAATACTATTTCTTATCTTATTTTTCAATAAAAAAAATTATAGTGAATTACTAAATTAATTTTTTAAAATTATGTCTTTATAAATCCAAATTGATAATTAATTAGAACATATTTGTTAAGAAAATGTAAGATTCAAAGGTAATGGACTAAACTAAAAAACAAGATGGTTTTTCTAAATTTAGAGCTAAAAATACACTTTGATCTTATAGCTGTTCAAATGATAGGTTTTTAATTCTTAATAATTTATAAAATTTAATTATAGGCTCAAACGTTTTTTTTTTTAATTTTAGTTCCTTGTATGGGAGAAGAGAAAAAAAAGTGGTCAGATTTTAGTGGTATAAAAACAAATCTCGTTTGAGATGGATTTTGGCCATGAAAACAAATGGTTTTGGCATTAATAATTTTCTTTTAATAGAGAGTTTTTTAAAGATGTCTTTTCTCCCTTAAACTTGGTTAAAATGGTAGATTTGAATTCAATATATATTTTTTTTTATTTCAAGTTGATTGTAGGTTTTGAAGCTAATCCTTGAGTTATAAAGACCATGAATTTGTTTTATAAGGTGTTTATGTTGTTATTGTTTTTTTTTTTTTTTTGTAAAAATATAGTTTTTCTTATTCCCCAAGCTTTCTGGAGGTCCAAGAACTTTAAGCTATCCAAACTCGAGGCACTGATTTTGTTTTCTTTTTTTCTTTTTCTTTTTATTCATCATTGTATAGGTAATATTTAATTTATTATTAATGAGGCCCGTAACTCGTTTTGTTTTGATTTTTTTTCTAATCTCTTTAATATTTAGTTAATTTTTAATTTTATAAATATTTATTTTAAATAAAAAATTATAAAATATTATTGAATTCAATTAAATACATGATCTGAGTTATAGACTTACTGATTAATTTTTTTTTAGCTAAGTAGAAATTATGTTTTATAATTTTTTTTACTGTATAAATAATTTTTAGTTTATTTCATTGAAAATATGGATAAACTTTTTGAATTTCAAATGAAATTTTTTTATATACAAAATCATATCGCTGCATGTAAAATGGATTCTATTATTCTACCATTCTGCAAATCGAATTTTAGGATATTTTAGGTGGTTTGATCTTGTGAAATTCAGGATAACTTTTTTTGAACCCAAAAAGTTTTTAATAAAATGAGAATAAATTAAATTTATTTATATTATAATTATAATTTTATTTATAATAATATTTTATTTAATTTTATTACACATCAAAAAAATCATGAAAATTATAATTTATATTAGATGAATTTTATATATAATATAATTATAAATAATTTAATGAAATAATAAAAAATATTTTATATAAAATATTATTTATTTCATGATATAATAAAAATAATTAAATTTATAATATTTAAATTTAAAATCTTTAATATATATTAACCCTCAATTAAAATTATATTTTATAAAATAACTTTTTAACACAACCAAAAACTACCACAATTATAATCCACAAACCCCCAGAGCGCCAAAATGAAATCAAATCAATTATTTTTTTAAAAAAAACGAAAAACCCTCTCCAATCCAATCCTCTTCTTCTTAATTTTCAAGGTTTCGAGAATTCCAATCTGCGTAAATCCCTTTCAATGTCAATCCCTAAAACCGTCGATTCCTCGCTCCGGTCTGATTCTTTCACTGCCGTCCTCACTGACCTCGAAAACGCTTCTCTCTCTCTCTCTCTATTTTTCTTTGTTTCGCTTACAATTTGAATTTTATTTTGTTTTGTAGGCGAAAAAGCTGAAGGAGAATCACGCATGGTTGGTGGAAACTCTTTCTCTATTTAAGAAACCGAACGCGGCATCACGAGGGGCTTTGAATTAGGAGAAAATCAAAGCTGTTTCTTATTACGTTCACTTAGTCTCCTATATAAGTTGCCTGATACCTTCTGGTTTTGTGTCAGTTCATTATCCGACACATTTATAGATAGGGTTCCACGTTCGGCAAATAACATGCCTTCATCTTTACATTTTTGAGTTACGTGCAGGGAATACAGTTTGCTGCTGCCAGGGTGCTATCTATGTTGTTTATCGCAGCATATTATACTGAACCAAATTCGTCTGGCAATGTGTGCCTTGGTCTGGATGATAAGCAGGTTTGGCTTTTTAAGCTGTGTTTTCTTAGAAAATAAGAATTTAATTGTTTTTATCCTAATTTTGATTAACTGTTTCTTCTAGATCGCAGATATAAGGCACTCTGTAAAAAGTACATTAGTTAAGCAGTTGGACCAGAACGGAGATTTATTTGTTGCCACAGTCAATCTGCTTACTGCTGCAACACATTATCAGGTATGTTTTAATAGGGTTTATTTCCTATATCTTTCCACTTAAATTGGCTTCTGACACAGAACTTCACGATCCATTCATACATTTTTTTTGCAGTTATCTCAATCCTTACTCCCTCATGGAAAACATCTGGATAGCTTTTATTTTCTGATAAAATCTTGTATCTCAATAACAGCTTTCTAGCATGTGTACATTGTTTGCTTATTGGTGGTTTCTCTGTTGCAGCCTTCGTATCTTCTTGCCATTTTTTCAGCAGCCTGATCAATTTATACACTTCTTGTGAATATGACAATAAAATACCTTATCGTACAAAGTTGTCCTTTAAATTTTCCTCCATTTATTTATTATTTGTTTTGGTTCTATTGATTCTGGCACTATAACCTTATTGACATACATATTGTTGCTATATCATTTGACTGTGACGAACCATTTTAGGATCTAAAATACCTCAGGAAGCACCCACTAATAGGTTATCATATCCACAATTACATGTCCTTGCAACTTGCAGGTTGCCACCAGTATGTTCATTGTACATGTGATGGGGAAATTAGTAAACGGTAATGCAGGAAGTTTATCTGTATCCTTGGTTGAGAAGATCCACATCACTTTTAACGTGTGATACTGTCTTTAATTGGGCAAGCAATTCTCTCTATCTAGTCAATTGTTTGATGAGTTTTGTCCACTTCAAAGTTGATTGTTCGTTGGCAATCCCTTCAAGAGGTCTTTGTAGTTATTTATTAACAGCAATACCTGATTTTTGCAATTCTATTGTTTTAAAGTGACATCGCATCTTTTCAGTTTGGGTGCAACAGTTGAGCTGTCAGCTTGCCTTATCTGAATTGTTGGCGTTACAGGTAACTTGAGCACGTGTTTCATATTTTTATTTGATTGTTTTTTTTAATGTGACTCTTAAAAATCTATTCGTCTAGGATTGTGGTTGCTTGAATGGAAATGCATTGCAATAGATTTTTTCCGAAGTCCGATGTGAAATCATTACATGTACCATTGAATCATTGTTCTAATTCTGAGGCTCACCTCCTTTGGTAGTTTGATAATTTGTGCTGGGTTCTGATTCATTTGATCCTGTAAGTTGAATTCTTATCGTTTTTCAATATCTTCTCAGTGAAGTAAAGAACTAAAAGGTCTGATACTCACCAATCTCTACTATCATCTTCAAGGAAAGCTAGAGGGTTGTAAAATTGGTCCTGGACCATTTAAAGAACTCTCTTGGTATCTGGTGGAATCAAACTGTTTGCTGAGCTATCAACACAAGTATGGTGACGAACATTATGGAAAGATTTTCACTTGTATGAGCTCATGGATATACGATCAGATTTGCGTTTGAATATGTGGGACTATACAGATTGGAAATCTTCTAAAGCAATCACACAAACAATGTTGGAGTGCTTGAAGGATGCAAATTCGAAGGTTTTAATAGCTAGTTCAAAGCTTTCTGCTCCGAAAGCATTTCTAACTGCTCTTCGTATGTGGGAAGATAATGTGAGTATCTGAATTCTTACTGCCATTTGTTGCAGCTTCTAATATTGTAATATTGAATATTGTGGTCATAGATTTGTTACAGTTTTCTGAAGGTGCTGTGTTTTCTTCTTCTTCTTGCTGGTTGGGGGGCACGAAGCTTTGAAAAATCACAGTCGCCTTGAAGTTTGGTGTTTTTTTACCAAACATTTTAATTTGTCCTTTAAAAAATATGTTGGTTTAATAATTAAATAAATTTTTAAGAGATTGCATATTATTAATCTTTTGAATATGCCACACTGTTTGTTTTGGAATTTTTTGGAGTCTGTATATGATAGCTAAAGGGTGCGATGGCAAAATGATGTCTATTGTGCACTTATTTCTTTTAACAGTCAGCTAGCTCTTTTAAAAGCTTGTCATAACAATATCAATAACAATAATATTGATTGAAGTCATTTATTCTTTGATTGGGAACTACTACTAAATTTCTAGGATCATGATCTTCTTATGTTTTTTCGACTATTCTCATGAGCTGTTGTGAAGAATTCATGTAAAATAATTTTGAAGATCAAGGCTTAGAAGCGCTGTATAAGACAAGAAAATGGAACGAATAGACAATTTGTGTTTGTGAACCACATTTTACAGTATAAACAAAATTTTAATTTCAGGCTATCCAGCATTGACATCTGTTACCTACCCACTGTTATAGCCCTTTTTTAAGGGCTAATTTATTTGTATATATATCATTTTTTCCTTTGTAGACATCATTGGGCTTTTATTTTTTATTTTTTTGCGTTTTGATTTTCTTGCTTGTTGAAATGATCGATGTTTCTTTCCCATACAGTCACCATAGAATAAGGCTACTACCGAGGTGAAGATTCCTGATCGACTCTGCTTTTCATGCATTGACAACAAGTGAAATTCTTTTCTCACCACAGTAGAATCGCTAGCTCCAGTTCTGGATGCCTCTGAAGAGATCTTAATTTCCTTGCTGCAAAAGCAGAGTTAATTCTAAATCTCGTGAGACCTGCGCAAAGCAACTTATCCATTTCTGGATGCCTCTGAATATATTCTTAATTTCCTTGCTGCAAAAGCAGAATTAATTCTAAATCTCATGAGATCTGCGCAAAGCAACTTATCTTTATCCATTTATATACTCGTCTTGAAAATCTCAGGTTCTGGCCTCAAATTGCTGAATGGGATAAAACTATAAAGCTTTTGCTCATGCTACTGCTTCTTGCTTTGGAGATTAGTAAATCTTCAGAAAAGGAATCTCTAGACTTTGCTGAAGTTTCAAATGTTTGTCTAGGGCTTTTGCCTAATCTGTGCAATTGCATTACAGCTACTGAGTGTAGTTCCCTCTCCTTGGCTACCATTGACTCAGTACTGAGAAGATTTTTGACACCTAACACTTGATTCCCCTTCATACAGAAACATCTTCAATTACCTCATGTTATTTTGAAACTTCATGATCAAAGTTCTTTCTCATCTGTTCCAATCACATTGAAGTTCCTTTTGACTCTTGCACGTGTGAGAGGAGGTGTTGAAATGCTCCTTAGTGCTGGTTTCTTCTCATCTCTTAGAGCTTTGTTTGCATATTCATCGGGTGTTGTGCCTTCGATAATTATGACAAATGATACGGTCTTCATAAAGCATTCTGACAAAACAGAAAAGCCTCAAACTATCTGGGGCCTTGGCTTGGCAGTGGTCGTAGCTATGATTCACTCGTTAGGAGACAGTTCTTATACTGAGATTCTGGACAAGGTGATTCCTTGTGTTTTATCAGAGAAAGCTGAACTGACTTCTTATTACATCAGTGCACCTGATTTTCCATCTGATAGTTGTGACAAGAAAAGACCACTGGCTCAAAGGACACAGACTTCTTTGAGTGCTCTTAAAGAAACAGAACATCTGTTGATGTGTGTGCACTAGCTAAACATTGGAGGTGATGGGTTAAGGTCATGAAAGAAATGGATTCAGAGCTGCTGGAGAAATGTATTCATCTATTAGCCTTTATTAGTCCAGGAACTCATCGCGTCGGAGAATCTTCCAGAGGAGTTAGAATTTTGCAAGAAACCATCATTTTTAAATAGCATGAATGGATTGTTTTCTCTTCCACCTCTCTGTTGTGCATCAAAGCCCATGTCTTCTGCTTTCTCAGTCATCACTACTGCTGCTGTAGGCAAGGGCTATTCAACTAAATTACCAATCCAGTTTCTTCAGACTCGGTTGCCCTGCATATTAATAGGATCTCTTTTCTTCTCTTGAAATACCTCTGTATGGAAACAGAGGGTGCTGCTAAAAGATAAGAGGAAGTGGGGTTTGCTGATCTAACTCAGATTCCTGAGTTGCCAATGCCGGAGATATTGCATGGCTTGCAGGTAAAAAGTGGTAAGTGCTCCTGTATTATCATCGAGTTCAGTCCTCTCATTGAAGGTATGTAAACGGTTTGAGATCATGAAATTGAGGGATTACTTTTGAAACAGTGACTTCTGGTACTTCTCCGAGTAAAATTTTTCACCATTGGCAGTAAATGAAGTTTCACCATCTATGAGAGATTTCTGTGTTGCTTTTGATGTGAAAATACTCTATGCTTTTGATGCCTGTACTGACTTGTTATATTTTAAAATGCAGGATCAGGCAGTTGTTATTGTTCCGGAACTTTGTGGTTCAAACAAATCAAGGTACATCAATTCTGAAATCCAGTCAATTTGTCTCTTATTACTACCGATAATGGAGATTGCCCTGCCCTATATTTGGAGTTCTGCGTTTTACAGATTTGTGGAGTAAGCCCTGCATTAGGGCGTGTGGAGGAATTTTCAAAGGAAGTAAAATAGCTGTCAAAAGGTAATAGCCCTTTCATACTGCTAACTATATTCTGAATTAATATTTTAGATTTACTATTATACTTGCCTTTGCTTTTTTATTTTTTTGGTAGCCATGGGAGTCTGTCTAAGCATTCTTAAAAGCATCGGTCACATCCTTGAAACATTTAACATCTCTTGTCTACCCCGTATTGTTACAGACCGAAGGTTTATTATGAAACACTTGTGGAAAAATAGGCGAACTTAGTTGGGTGAGTAACAGATCATGAAAATCCTGTACAGATATCAGAATTAGGCATGGCCAAGATATTTGCATGATTACAACGTAAAACTCTGCATAACATCAACATCTGACAATATCAGAACCATACATCATTGAATATCGCTTAGATTTTTCATGGTTCCTCTAGCTCAGTGAAGGAATATCACACAAACATAATGAAGATGGTGCCAAATATCATCGATCTGGCGTTGTTTCGCAGTCATCCTCTTTCTATGATTTTAAGGTGCCCTGTTACAAGATATGCCTTCCAGCAAGGGATTATAATTATTTCTTGATCATGCACCGACTGCTGTAATGATTAGGGCAATGAATTATTCTAGGGGGACTGAATTTTCACTTTTGTGCTTGAATGGGCCCTGCCGCCTTGCATGCGTGATGCCACAAGGTAGCATGTTTTTGTGGTGAGACAATTGTTGAAACAAAAGCAACTGCATATTATTGCAGTTCTTGACAAGAAATGTGTCTTTGTCTCTCTTTCATGTAGGTGGTAATGCTATTCATCCAGGAACAGGTCTTAAGTAATTAGTTACTCGAATAGGATCTATCAATCGTGTCATTGTCATCTCGAATTTCCCTTAATTGATTCCAGATGGATATCTATATCAGCATCCTTTACAGTAATTGTGTATGCTTACTCACCAAAAATCATCTCGAAAAATCATTCTGGTATTTATGATTTTAGAGGTAGGGAAGTTCGAGTGGGGCAAACTTGTATACTTTATCTAGATTCTTTTTTTAATTTTTTAATTTTATATGGTTTTTAATGCACTGATATTAAAGATAATTTAAAAAAATAAAAAAGTATTAGTTAAAAACTTTCACATCCCATTGTGTTGGTTAAGTTGAATGGACTTAGTACATGGACGGGTTCCTCAACGGTGGTGGGCTCCCCTACCACGTCACAGCTGTCAGTTACCACGTTTATTTAATAATTTATTAATGTTTTTTTTTTTTTAATTTGCCTAACATCGAATAGCTGTCTGGAACTTCCGTTTAAATATATTTTTTAAACAGTTTTTATTTATTTTATTTTTAATTTTTTTTTTTTTTTTTTAATTTGCCTAGAATAGCTGTCTGGAACTTCCGTTTAAATATATTTTTTAAACAGTTTTTATTTATTTTATTTTTAATTTTTTTTGATGGTATAATATTTGAAATAAATTTTAAAAAATAAAAAACATTTTAATATATATTTTTTTAAAAGAAAATAAACTTTCGATGCACCGTGAAAATATGACATTCATCGTTGAGTTGACTTTCACTAGAAAAAAATCAATAAGGCCACCTTAAACAATCTTCAGTGTGAGATCAGTGCATTGAAATCCTCCTCACGTGTTAAATTTTTTTTTTTATGTTTTAAAAATATTTTTTTTAAAAAATTAAATTTATTTTTTAAATTAATATATATTTTTTAAATTATTTATGTTAAAAATAATTTTTAAAAAATTAAAAATACTTTAATATATTTTTAAAATAAAAACTATTTTTAAAAACATTTATTATTACACTTTAATAATTTTTAAAAAATAAAAAAATATTATTTTAATATATTTTTAAATAAAAAATATTTTAAACAATAATCATTACTATTTTTTTTTTTTAACAAAAGATGAGCCGGGATGCATTACTGATGTGTATTTCAAGATAAAATCAAATCAAATCATTGACAAACATTAATCATGGCGCATGAAATTTGTACGATTTTACCTATCCCTCATAAATCTTGCCATACCCGAACAGAACCACTTCCAAACGACGCCGTCGCTCCACGATGATAATAAAGCCAAAAGGCATATACCACCTAGGATCCCTTACTTAACCCTAGTCAAAGCAAGCCTAACCACAGTTAATCCCAAACCACAGAGATCCTTCCACGTGTCCTGATCTAGTGATCCAAATCCACCCTCTCGCCCTATAAATTCACCCCCAAATCAGCGGTAAACCCTATCAAAACGACTATCGTTTACTCCTTCTCGGAAATCAAATCCCTAATCTTTCTCCTTCACAATGTCAAATCCAAAGGTATTCTTTGACATGACCGTCGGCGGCCAACCTGTTGGTCGGATCGTCATGGAGCTATTCGCCGATGTTGTTCCAAGGACAGCCGAGAATTTCCGTGCTCTTTGCACCGGTGAGAAAGGTGTTGGCAGGTCCGGCAAGCCACTTCACTTCAAAGGTTCAAGCTTTCACCGTGTGATCCCTAACTTCATGTGCCAAGGTGGTGACTTCACTGCCGGAAACGGCACCGGCGGTGAATCAATCTATGGGGCTAAGTTTGCCGATGAGAACTTCGTGAAGAAGCACACTGGGCCTGGTGTGCTTTCCATGGCTAATGCCGGTCCTGGGACGAATGGATCTCAGTTCTTTATCTGCACTGTTAAGACAGAATGGCTTGACGGGAAACACGTCGTTTTCGGTCAGGTTGTTGAGGGGATGGACGTGGTGAAGGCAATTGAGAAGGTTGGATCTGGAAATGGCAGGACTTCGAAGCCTGTTGTTATTGCTGACTGTGGTCAACTCTCTTAGAGTCCCTTGGTTGACATGTCGTTCGGTGGTGTCTTGTTTCGTCTCTTTGATATTGGGTCTTCTCTAGTAGTTTTGGGTGCGTTCTAGTGATTTAGTTTTTGAGGTTTTATATGGGGCCTTTGTTTTAGTCTTTCCCTTTGGAGCTTGGTGGTTCTATCAGGCTTTCGTGTGTTGAAAAATGAGCTACCATGAATAAGATAGGCTTATTACTATCTAATCTAGTTCTTAAATTACTGTGATTTTGTGTTATCTTCAGTGATTAGCGTGCTTATAAACTCTCTGAACATCATCATCTTAATGCCTTGGGGTCCTTCGGATTTTACGTTTGATTATTTTGGAGTCGTTGGGCACGGTAGCTGCGGAAACGACAGAGACTAGGAGATAGATGTTGCCTTGCACGACGGGGGTTGGTGAGAGTGATAATTGTCATTTAGCTAGCTTTGATAATTAGGAGGAACAAAAGATAAATGTGGAAATAAATTCTGTGGACCATAACATGGCCTGTTTGGGAACGTGGATATGCGCCACATATTTTGGTTGGTGGCTCGATGCTGAGGGCTTGATCTTGTGACTCGTACTTTAACTAGGTAAGCATGCAAATGGGCTTCGTACTCGTCGGTTTTTGGTTGAACTTTGAGTCTCAGATACCGAGCTATGATTAGTTTATATAGCATACAATGGCTTTGCACAAGCGAAGGCTTGTTTGGGCCAGCTGGCCCATTTGAGATCGTAGCAGAACACTCCAAAACCGAAGTAATGCATGTTGTGAATGTTTCCTTCAGCCGTGTACTACGAATAAAACAGATCAGCGAAGCTTCCTTGGATCCATCTGCGCCCTCCCCTTTATCAGATAAAATATCGTATTTTAAGCGTCTCAGTCTTTGGCGGCCAATAGATACACATTCATGCCCCAAAAACAACACCCTACACGCTACTATGGTGGATAGAAATTAAGGCACCATCAATCCTCGACGAGGACAGCCGCCAGTCAAGAGCTGTGGGCTGGAGAAGCTTAAGAATTAAGACAAGTCATCACTATGGGCCCCAACCCATAATTAATTATGATGTTTAAGCAGCTATACCTTCGCCTGTTCAATACCAAGACATGAGGATTGCAGGAATGATGGTTAAAAGTGGCTTTTTTTTTCTTTTTTTTTAAGAGATGTATTAAAATAATTATTTTTTAAATATTTTTAATATCAGGTTATATGAAAACATAAAATAAAAATATATTTAAAAAAAAATTCAAAATTTGAGCTGACACCAAAACCACACATCTTCGGATCCCAGAGATGCCCCCATTTATAAAATGATGCAACTTACTACAAAATGGTGTTGGGGGACATTGTACGGAGCTCATGATTATTACCCCAAGGGCATCACTACAGCCTCCAAGCACATTTGCTGTCGTCCAGCTTGTGATGCAAGCTCATGTGCAAAAAAAGAACGTGAATATTTATTTCTTCTCCCAGTGGTATTCCAAATTTATCAAATTTCTACTGAAGATATTTTTTAATCGAAAATCTATTCAAATAATTTGATTTTTATTTTTATGGCGGCTCATTAAAACAATTAAAAGTATTAAAACCATTTTAAAAAATATTAAAATCAAAATTACCCCAAAAAATATACCCCGCTCTCGTGAACGGGGTCTCGGCCCCAACCTAATTGCCTGCTGTTATGGATTGGATGCACACCAAAGCTGGGGTACTCTCGTCATTCTACCACCAAAACCCACCAATCCAAAAATTAAAAATAAATGGATGGAGATGAAAGGTTTTTAACCCCTCATTAACCCAATTAAAATATGAAACGTGCTCAAACCCTACAGGTCATGTTCACATGAAGTCAAACCCTCCGGCTTCTCTAACAACGTCGTGCCGACTTAAATATTCTGACGTGAAACACGTAAGCCTTACTCCTTCAAATCGGAAATTTCAAATAAAACGCCAAAGAAGGAAAGAAAGAACCCAATCAGAGAAAGACTCGTCAGGGCCAGAGCGCAGAGAGAGCCTCGCAGGGAGAAGAAAGAAACAGCTCAAAGCGCTGTTGTTTCTGTTCATTTGGTCGTTTTGGCGCGAAATGAATAAATTCCTCCGTTCATTTCTGCTCTGTAAATCTAACAACCTCAGTTTTGGAGAAAAAGAATTGATTTGATTTTGATTAGCAATTATTTGACTGATTTTTTTATATTTAAAGTTAATTGGGAGAGAGATGGGAGTATCGGAGAATTCAAGAGGGCTAATTCTAGCCGTGGCATCGAGTGCATTTATAGGGGCGAGCTTCATTTTAAAGAAGAAAGGACTCAAACGAGCTGGTGCTAATGGTACTCGCGCTGGTCAGTTCATCTATTTATTTTCGATCTCGTTTCATTGTTTTAAATTTAATTACCTTAAATCATCTGGATTTCAATGTTATTGGTTGTTTAATTAGGTAATTAGCAAGTTTGAGAGTAAAAGACGAGAACTTTTTAATATGGTTGTGTTATAAAGTTAACATTTTTCAGTTCAAATTTGAATTTGGATCCAATTCTATTAAAAAAATAAAAAAAAATAATTCTGGGTTTTTATTTATTAGAATAAGTGATTTTTTTTTAGTCGACAATGTAGGGGTTGGAGGTTATACGTACTTGCTAGAGCCGCTATGGTGGGCAGGAATGGTGACAAGTAAGTAATACATGTATTGGATGATGCAGTTTCTGTCTGAATTATGTGATTGTTTTGGTTGCGAAATGTCTTGTTAATTTTGGTTTTTTATGATGCACAAGCAGTGATTGTTGGGGAGATTGCGAATTTTGTGGCTTACGTTTATGCTCCAGCAGTTCTAGTTACCCCACTTGGTGCACTGAGTATAATTATCAGGTAGAGATTGCAGACGTGTGGAATCTCTCTCTCTCTCTCTCTCTCTCTCTCTCTTAATGTTGTGATTAAATAGTTCGCGTTTTGATTTATAATTAACATGTGTGAGGAAATTTGAGCAGCGCGGTTTTGGCACATTTTATGTTGAAAGAACGGCTGCAGAAAATGGGTGTTGTAGGATGTGTATCTTGCGTTGTAGGATCGGTAGTGATTGTAATCCATGCACCTCAAGAGCATACACCTAGTTCTGTACAAGAAATCTGGACTTTGGCAACCCAAACAGGTTGGTACTCTTTTTTATTTTTTGATCTTCTCTTTTGTTGAACAAATTTATTGTCTTGAGTAGTTACTTATTGAGTTATTGGTTTTGTTTTCCCCTCTCACATCACAGCATTTCTAATATATGTAGTAGCTACAATTTCAGTAGTGTTAGCTCTGATTTTGTACTTTGAACCACGCTGTGGGCAGACAAACATATTGGTCTACTTGGGAATATGTTCTTTGATGGGCTCAATAACGGTAATTATGATTTCTTTGAGTTAGATGTACAGACATTCTTATTCAAATCTGTATGGAATCTCATTTCGTTTTCATTTTGTTAGTTACCTTGCATCACGATTCCTAACATTAACTCTGGCTTATGTTTTTTATTTTTTTTTACCTGGTGTTATTCAGGTTGTAAGCATAAAAGCCATCGGAATTGCAATAAAGTTTTTTTTTAGGTTGTAAGCATAAAAGCCATCGGAATTGCAATAAAGTTGACATTGGAAGGGATAAATCAGATAGCTTATCCTCAGACTTGGTTTTTTCTTTCAGTTGCAGTGATCTGTGTCATCACACAGTTAAATTACCTGAACAGGGTAAGTTTAATGTCATCAATTGTATTTCTCGAATGTTAGTTATGGTATAGGCTTGTGTGAGAAGCAGAAACCCATAGATTCATTAGTGCAGGGGAAAAAAGGACACAAATTATGCAAGTAATAATAGAAAAGGAACCTGGAGTAGGTAGGTGTGTGTGGTTTTGAGTTCAATGGAGGCCATGGAATATGAGTTAGAAAATAGAGACATCTCTATTACCTGCCATACACATGATTTTATGTATGGGATGCTGTCTTTAAAGAATTTAAATTTCATTTTAAATGGGGAATGTTTCACATTTAGTTGGATAAGGATGAATAGGTAGGGTACTTTATGTTGGGAGGTGGTACTGCTTTCTGTGAAGTTAAGCTGATGGCGTCGTGAGCATCTTGTTCCTGTCAAATGTGCGGACGAGAGCTATGGGCAAAGGCCCAGCTATGCTATATGGTCCCAAGTGTGACATAGGTGGAAGAAAGTGTTTATTTGGATATTGCAGGTGGCTGATAGAAGTTAGCACAGTTATTTGTTAGGCTATCAGATTGGGTTAGAGAACCTCCATGTTCAATCATGCAACTTTGTTTCTTTATTCGCATCATGTCTCAAGCAAAGACCATCTCTGGATATTTGTTGCGCACCAAGTGAAAATGATCAACCTGATATCCTCAAGTTTATTGAAGCAGTTTCATCTTCATCATCAGTTTAAGTTTTTCCTGTCAGATGAGATTCTGTTTAATAGTTATCATTCTCATGTCAATAGTGTTTTATGTTCCAGGCATTGGATACATTCAATGCAGCAATTGTTTCTCCGGTGTATTATGTAATGTTTACAACTCTGACCATCATTGCCAGTGCCATAATGTTCAAGGTGAATGACTGATTCATCCTCTGGGATTTGTTTCTGTCTGTATAAACTGTTGTTTACAATTACCATGAACCTGCAAGCTCAAAATGTTTGTCACCATGTACTTTCTGCAGGATTGGTCGGGCCAAGATGTGAGCAGCATAGCTTCTGAGCTTTGTGGATTTATCACTGTTCTTTCAGGAACAATCATACTTCATGCAACAAGAGAACAGGAACCAGCTCCTCCACTAGGTAAATACATTCCATATCCCATTTCTCCTCCTTTTTTACTCCTTGCTTGAGGGTTGTCAGTGTTGGGCTGATGATACCACAATTCTGTTTTGACCCATACGCATTGAAGGATGAGGCAAAAGAAACAGATACACCTCAACATTTACTAACGAACTGTGTTGAAATGCTTGGACCATCTAGCTATGATTTAGAAGCATCTGATTGAAACTGTATGACTGTTGTGTAATTTTTGTTGTTCCTCTTCCAGTTAGATAAGCAACTGACCTTCAATGAAAATAATTTCCCTGGTGGGAGAGGGAATACTAAACCTAGCACATAATATCAGGACCTTAGAGATGGAGGAGACTGAAGAAATCGTTAACAGCAAAAGCATGTGAGCCTGACTGAATCTCAAAGCAGTTTGGTGCTTTGCTCACCATATCACCAACAAAATCTATTTTACCCTTTTGTGTTTGGCGCATAGCCACTCACCTTACAGCTCACACCATATCTGCAAAACCCCGTTTACTTTTCCTACAACTCAATTACTTCTCTGCTTTTCAAGTTAGCTGTGTCTTCATTTTCCTTGTGTTATTGATTGCTGGCAACTAACTGCCATCGTTAGTAGCAGTTTCCTCGCTACCTTCATTAATGTGAGAATTTGCCATTAACTTGAGTTTATGACTCGGTTTAATATTCCTTGCAGGAACTGTAACGTGGTATGTTAGTGGGGATTCCCTTAAAGGTATTGAAGAACATTTAATCACTGTACAGAGTTCAGATGAGCAATGAACTTTTTTTTACTTTTAACTGGGATTTGAAAAGATGGTCTCCCACCATTGGAGCAAGAAAGCAACCAAGGGCGAGATGTATTTGCACATTGGGGAGCTCTTCTTTCACCCGGAGAATTCTTTCGTATCAATACTGGGCTGCTTCTATGGATATCGTTTCTTGACAAACCGTGTGAAAGTTGGCCCTCAATGGAAAGAGTCACTCTCACCTGAAATGCCTAAACTTTTCTGAAACTTTGAACATGCATGACGGCGTGGAATCAAAACCAGTGCTAGGAAAGATGTTGGGCCAGGTCCATGATCTTACTTTGCCCATTGTGGATGGCTCTTGTGCATTTTGGTGCGTGTATTTTCTTCATGTGAATTCCTTGTTGATTTTCTTTGTAAGTGTGTATTTATGATTGATTTATAGGTAGTAAAATCTTGAAATATTGCCATTTCTCCACAGAGCTCGACTTACCTTCTGAAGGAAAAATTGACAGATCAAGCTATAATAGAGTTCCATAATCGCTTCGCTGGTATTTCTGTTCTCTGTTGCCGTGTAATCCTGTATTACATCCTTCGAAGCGTACAGCCTTAAGATTTAGGAATTATGTTTGAGGAATGTTGACGCAAGAATTGCTGCTTCTTTTGTTTTGCTGCAAGATCTGATGCTTTTGCTGGTCAGCGTTTGGTCTTAAAGATAGTTCCAATTCTTGAGAGATCATTGATAAAAGATTATATTGATATTATTTTAGTGAATTATGTTGATATTGATATTAAAAATAAATTATTTTTTTAATATGTTTTTAAGTAATAAATACTTTAAAAAGATATTTTTTTTTATCTTAATACCAAACATGTAATAAATTATTTTTTTCTCTTTACTGAAACTCACGTTCTTAGAAATTGAAATTTCCAAAATATTTGTGAACTCCGATGCTGGAAAACATTTCTTCTTTGATAAAGAGGACGGACCGGATCTAGTCGTAGTGATCAAAAGATCGACAAAGATATCCACGTAGCCATAGATGGAAAATCTTAATAAAGCATTGGAGCAAAAATAAATAAATAATAAAAAAAAAACTAAAAGAGTAAGCAGATGTTTATTTATATGTTTTAAAATTATTTTTTAAAAAATTAATTATTTTGAAGTATTAATATTAAAAATAATTTTTTAAAAATAAAAAAATTATTAATATATATTTTAATATAAAAATTATTTAAAAAATAATCATAATTACACTATCAAATAAGCTATAAACAAATGATATGTTCTAGGTTAACATTATTTTTTTAATTAAAATATTTATATTCATAAAATTAATCAGACCAATAGTCATATATATATATATATATATATTAAAAATGTATTAATTTACCACTGGTTTGGGTAAGTAATTATGTACGATGCACAAATTTAAATAATGAAATTATAAAAAATAAATATCTTTGAAAAATATAAAAATTAATGTACTTATGAAAAAACAACTGTCTTTAAAAGTTGAGATTTTATTGAAAAATACACGTAATATTTCTAAAACTATGAACTAATCCCCACCATCAAACACTCAGAGAGTCTCGAACACCCATTCTCCACTGTCCGATCAAATCCACCCCCTTCATCCCATTATATTCCCCTCTCCGCTGCTAAGGCACGCAATCTTAAATCCTCAAAACCAAAACCTCTTCAGAGAGACCAAAAATATCTGAGCGAAAAACAGCGGCAACACCATCATGGCGGAAAAAGCTTCTTCTCCTTGGGGCAAACCCGGCGCGTGGGCCTTAGACGCCGAAGAACACGAAGCTGAACTCCAACAAGAACAACAGAATTCCCAACGACCATCCACTGAACCACTCGGTGGCACCGCTGAATTCCCTTCTTTAGCCGCCGCCACTAAACAACCCAAAAAGAAAAAAAACAAAACCCTCTCTTTAGCTGAACTTTCTAATTATCCATCGGCTAAGCAAAGTCATGAGCCTGATCTCCTCAATCTCCCAACTAGACCCCGCGAACGCTCCGCTGAAGAGCTCGACCGGGCCCGCATCGGCGGCGGGTTTAAATCGTATGGTTTAAATTATCGTAACGGAGGGGAAGAGTCTAATTCGAGGTGGGGTGCTGGTGGTAATGGGAATTCTAGGGTTTCTAATAGGGAGTCGAGCAGGGAATTTGCTCCGTCGCGAGCGGATGAGATTGATGATTGGTCGAAAACAAAGAAATCCCCGGTGGGGAGTGGGTATGAGAGGAGGGATAGGGATAGGGAGAGGGGATCTTCTTTTTTCGATTCTCAGTCTAAGGCTGATGAATCAGAGAACTGGATTTCTAATAAGACAGCGAATGATGGGCCAAGGAGATTTGGTGGATTGAATAATGGTGTATTTGAGAGGAGAGGGAGTTTTGATTCCTTATCGAGAGAAAGACATGGGTTTAGTGGTGTTAGTGGTGCTGCTGCTGAGTCGGATAATTGGGGGAGGAAGAAAGATGAGAGTCTTAACAATGGTAGTGGTGGTGAGAGGCCGAAACTGAAGTTGCAGCCAAAAACTTTTACAGCGAGTAATGGGAATGAGGTGGCGGGGAAACCTAAAGGGCCAAGTCCGTTTGGAGATGCAAGGCCAAGAGAGGAGGTGTTGAAGGAGAAAGGGATGGATTATAAGGAGATTGATGAGAAGTTGGAAGCTGTGAAAATTAGCAGTGAGAGAAATAAGGATTGGGAGAGAGGGGATTCCTTTAGAAGAAAGGGATTTGGGATTATTGGTGGAGGTTCTGGTAACGAGAGAAGTTGGAGGAAGCCTGATGTTACCGATTCTGGTTCGCGTCCACAGAGGTTTGTTTTACAAGCTATTTGATTGATTTGTTGGCTGATTAGTTATTGGTATTCAGATCTCTTTTGCTTAGGAGATGTCAGTCTAGTTTAGATGGTATATTTGATTTTCTTTCGTGCGCGGTGTATTATTTGTCTACGGGGGTAGAATTGGAGTTGTTCGTCTTAATTATGAGGGATTATCTTGATTACGAGGGAGGTAATTGTACTTGAATTGTGCGTTCTTAGGGAATACTGCCTGAGGATTATTTACTAACTCTGTCGGTAGTTATCTTAACCTGATAAGATAGCTCGTTCTGGTTCTATTGTCGTACTGGTTTTCGAGAGCTGTTGTGTTCTTCTAATGTTTCAATACGTTATGTGAATCTGATTAGATCATGCCTCGTGCTGCTCTCCTGTCCTGCCTTGCTAAGTTGGAACAAAGCTACTGAACTTTATGTGATTGCTTTTATCTTAAAACTGATTCTCTTTGTAACTTGAGAGAAGTCATTGAGATTGTTGTGCGAATTACAATTCTTGATTTCTGATATGGGAAATCCTGTATAAATCAAGGGAATCTTTTATTCCTAAGAACTTGGATTACGCATGCATCTGAATTGGCCTTAGCTTTGTGGATTGGGATTAATTGCCAGGCCTGTACAAACTCATGTAATTTGAAGTTACAAAGGCCTGTTACTTCTGATTTCGTGATAAAGTGGTTGATATATTTGCTTTATAACGACTCACTTAGGATATTCTAGTCATGCCAGGTATGTTGGATGGATTTCTTGCTTCCTAAAATTGTTTCTACGTATTAACTGGTGTTAACATATCAGACAACAAAATCTACTGGAAAAGTACTTCGCCAATTATATGGTTTCTGTTTTCAGTGTTTGTTTGATTATAGTTGTTGTCTGACACAAATTGTATTGAATGAGAGCTATTTCAAATCAAATGTGAAAGTTTAGAGCTTTAGGTATTTTCTTATCATGTCATTAATTATGTAGGAATTGCCCTGTAATTAACTGCTTAATTTTGTGAAATTAATGTTTGTTTGATGCAGTTCTGGGACAACTGAGAATGGAAGCATTGCTGAGGATGGGCCTGCCATAGAAGGTGCAGCTGCTGAAGTAAATTGAAGATGAAGATGAATTTTTGCAAATTAAAAAGCTGAGGATTGAGAAAAAGAAAAGAGTAGGAACATTTTATTTATTGGTAGTCCAAGGTCTTCTGTTTTGTCCAATTGTATCCGTGCGAGTTATGCTGTGACTCATATTACTGTTGAACACAATGTTGAGACAATTTTGGTAGGCATACAAGTAATTGACTATGGTTTGCCTCTTTAGCTTGTTTTGTAGCTGGGATTGAACTTCAGGATTACGTGTTATTACATTACTACTTATTTGTTCCTCCCCCCTTCTATTCATTCTTAGCGCTGATTTTGATTACCATCTGTCCAAATAAATCAAGAGACATGCGGGTGCAATGGCACTCGTGATTTTTCTCATCGTCTGTATTTCTTGTACCTTAAGTGAACAAGGCTTTCATTTTTCACTAGTCCCATGTAAGACCGATGATATTATAACGCATTTTTTCTAGATCTGTCTTGATTATACTATGACAGAACTGCAGCTGTGAATTCTGTTGTTAGAGGTTTTAGGGCTTCTTAACTGGTTAAAAGCGAGATGCGCGAATGGCATTGACATGCTGAAAATAAGCTCAAGTTTGATTGTTCTTTTGCCTCTGGTAGAGGTACGTCTAAGAGACCTTGGATTCTCCAGCTTAAAATGGACGCGTATAGTATTTGGATGAGTTCAGCTACAGAGTGTGGGCACGCAGAAATGGAGTGTGGGCGCGAATGACACCCCTTGATCATATTCCAAACACACACTGGCGTCCATATCAGCCAGGACACCCCTTGATCATATTCCAAACACACATTGGAGCTTGTTCTAGACGGAAAACGGGTCATTTAGAATCATACGATCTTATCCCTAAATTAGCAAGTGCAGAGAGATCCAACAAAGACTACAGATGAAAATTCCAAGTTGTGGGGTGTTTAGAATTGTTGAACCACCTACCACTGCCAATTTTATTCATCAAAGAAAGGCCGCATATGATACTGTCGAAGCTTGCTTCTGAGGTTTCTCCACCTTGAGGTTAAAATAGATCGCGTGGGACGTCCACAGCTCCTTAAAATAATGGATCATATTCCAAGTTCGTGGAGACAGGGACACAAGATTATATGCGGGCAGGGCCTTTACAATAAAGGGCAAAGCTAGTTTGCAAGTTAAAGATGAAAGTTGGCACGCACGAGTCCTCTCAGGCACATGACAAAGGTAAAGGCCTGTTGAACAAGTAGAAAATCTTGGCATCAACACGGCCGCATCCAATGCAATGTAACTGCGTTGCGGAAATGGCTTTCCTCTACATTGGCACGAGTGTAAATTGCACAACTCAATCAATGCTTCTTGCTACTTTAACGGCTAACTAACATCTTCCTCCACCGCCAAGAGTTTCAAAAGATAACGTCCGTGTAGCTTACCACGTATCAAGTGTCTAGAATGCAAGTGATTCTGCCATGAATGAGTTAGGTAAGGACGGCTAGAATGCTACTCAGTTAGGAGGATATTGAATGCATTTAAGTACAGAACTCTTTCTTCTCACCCCCGCTAAATTTACCACTGCTGGTTTTAACATGTCGGTAGTTTTTGTTTTTTAAATAATTTTTTGAATTGTTTTATTTTTAAATTAATGTTTTTGAACTTTAATTATTTTTTAAATATATTTTATTTAAAAATATATTAAAATAATTTTTTTAATTTATTTCTGACATCAATATATTAAAACAAACAAACACATATATAATAATAATAATTATCATTATTATTATAATCATCATGCTATACCTTCTTATTGAATTCAAACTCTAATATAATAAAGAAGAGGTAAACTCATTTCCTATCAAATTAATGAATATTGTATTTTAAAAGTATTTTTTTAAAAATTATTTTTTATATTTTAAATTAATATATTTAAATTATTTTAATATGCTGATATTAAAAATAATTTTTTAAAAATAAAAAATATTATTTTAAAATAAAAAACATTTTTAAAGGTAACTACTACTATACCCCTAAATTCTCTAATAACACCTTACACACACACGATACAACATAGGCACTTAAGTTATTAGCCCAGCAATGAAAGGGATTTATTTCCTTCTTTTATATTTGGGTTCAAGTTTTATTATGCATGCTTGTCATCCCGTGATGTCTTATATATTCATTGAACTTGCAGGATATTTAATAAGTCGTGGGATTAGTCGTAATGCGTGCTAGGCACGAGGATGATAGGAGCTGTGGAGCTAGTATAGTAGAGCCTGGACTCCTGGGAGATCCTCCCCTGAATATGGGTGCTAGGCATCATATTTGCTAGACTTCTAAGAGAACCTAATTGAGGTGGTTTCATTCTGTATGATCCAACGAAAGCCTCAACAACATTAATCTTTCGAGTACCAGGATTGAGCTCTCAACCGATCAAGGAGTTTCTCGGTACATACTGTAAATTTGGGCAACGAAGGTTCCAAATGGGAACTCGCAGAACATCAGAATCTGCGTGTAGCAATAAATTAGGGGACCTGCCCCCATGCCATATGGCAGAGGTATCCTTTATCATCGCTAGTCTTAAATAGGTTGTCCGTACTACCAGCTGTTCTCTTCTTTTAAATTGTTTTTCTTCAACTTCTTATAAATACAGGCAGTTGGGAGTTAATGACATCTCTACTCATTTACTTCTTTTTCTTGACAATTGCTGCGGTGTTCATAACATCAAGCCTTTATATTCTTCTCTTTAAATCTTGGTTGTGTCTCCTGAATCTATCAAGAAACATGGATTGGACACACAAACTTCTTTTCTGTGTTTTTCTTATTTTTGTTGCAGCCATTGGTGGAACTCAAGCAGATGCCACAGTCACCGGCACTGTCTTTTGTGACCAATGCAAGGATGGCCAAGTATCCCTTTTTGACTATCCCATTTATGGTGAGATGAAGATCCACTGCAGTCATCAATCCACTTCCTTGTGTTTCCTAGTAATCATTTGACAATGTTGTTTCTGCAGGAATTAAAGTTACAATGACCTGTGCTGATGCTAGTGGTCAAATCACAATGTCGAGGGAAGAGACCACAAATTGGTTTGGAAACTATGTAATGAAGTTTGATGGCAGCCCAGATTTGAGCAATTGTTATGCTCAGGTTTCAAGCAGTGGTCAGGGTTCAAATGTCTGTGGTGCAGCAGCTGGTCCTTCCCAAAAGCTTAGACTAACGTTCAGGATGTTTGATATGGAGTTTTACACGGTGGATTCTTTGCTAACTGAGCCCTCAGCTTCCATGTCTTTTTGTCCAAGGTCTGTGAACCCAGTGCCTGCACCTGTAACACCTGTAAGACCTCCAGTAACTCCTACAACACCTCCCCCTGCTTTCAGGCTTCCTCGAATGCCTCCACTGCCTCCACTGCCTCCTCTGCCTCCTATGTCACCATTTCCCATCCTAGAAGCATCAGCATGTCCACACCAGTAAGTTCATTATCAGGGACTCATTGCTTTGGTTATTGGAAATTCATACCATTCCAATGGGACATCAAATAGGGTAGACTTGTATGATCTATGTTTCCACTAACAAGACAAGTAATTCTTCAGGAGCTGGACTATGCCAGAGTACAAATGCTACTGGAGGGCAGTGAATCCTGACATGAAGGTAGCTGTTGTCTTCGGGTTGCTCGCGGCTAGAAGATACGGAACAGATATGACATTATGGCAAGGCTTGCAAGGGAGAGGTGACCCGTATAGGACTCTCCTGAGAGAAGGAACAACTGCTCTCCTCAATTCCTATAACAGCATTGAGTTCCCTTACAATGCAATCAGTGTGGTCACACACATGAACTGGGCCTTGATGGGTTCCCAAAGGAGTGTCCTCCTGACAGCTTTGAGATTCACGAGGGCAAATTCTGGTTATGGCAGAGTCACCTGCAAATTCAACACTTGCAAATGATGTACACTATTCATTGGCTTTTGTTTGTCCATTGGATATACTTTATTCCTTCTATAATTATAGATTATAATGCACTATATTCCTATTACTGTCTTGTTCTTCATGTTCTGGGATTTGTATCGATTTATCAACTATTGATATTATCATATATATGTATGTATGATTATAATTCAGTTTTGAGAATGTTTCATTTTTGGATTATATGCTTCCAAAAAACAAGGAAAACAAGGCCAATAATTACAAGTGATATTCCTTAAATTTGATACATTATAGACCATAGCTTTTGTGAGGCATTGATTCTTAATGTGGGCATGTTTGGGTTTTAATGTACTTAGTTTCCTATTCGTTAATACTTTTAATCTTGATTATTCTTGAATTTTAATTTTTATACTTATTAAATTTTAGTTGAACAATGATTTGAAGCTTGACCCAGATTATTTTTTATTACATGACTAAATTTGAGTAATTATATAAGTTGACATATAATTTAATTGATAGGAGAAAACACAACTAGATTTATTAAAAAAAATTTAAAAATATTATTTTGAATAAAAATAATAATAAACTTAAGTTTGCATAGTTATGTACAGACAATAATAAGATCTTCTTTAAATTATATATCAATAAACTTGAGGCTTAGTGCTAAAAAAGTCCATGATCCCTATACTTCTTACAATTAGTAAAAGCAATCCTATACCATAAATTAAATTAAACCAACCCCTCTGTTCCAATTAAATGCAATTTAAGATCCTTCTTTGATAATAATTATGAAGCAGTATTCATATAGACATGGATTAAGAGGCTGAAATCAACTCTGATTTGGAGTGAAGGGATTCATTTGATCAGATTCAAAGTAAATATCTTGATTAAAGAAATGAAATAACTAGAAGGACTAGATTTGACTCTTAGCCCCAAAAATTACGTTAATCTAACGGCTCAAAACTATTTCCCTATGAAATCAACGACTATTCCTTTCCCAATAAAGTCACAAACCCCAACAGTTAACACCAGGCTGCTCCTTAAATTTAACCAAATAAAGCACTCCATTCGATGCCCCATCCCTCTAATAGTTTGACGTTTGACCTTCAACTCGTGAACCAAAATGAAGATCCTCAAAAACCCCGCAAGGAGTCTCCCCTCTAGATGTCCATTATCGATTTTTCTACTTCTCCTTTTTGTCAACACAATAAAGGGTTCACCATTTTCAATCCAAGAAGCCACAATCCAAGAAATCCAACAAGCATTTGCTCAAAATAAACTAACTTCAAAACAACTAGTCAACTTCTACTTAGATAGAATCCAAGAACTGAACCCTTTACTTCACAGTGTACTAGAAGTCAATCCAGACGCATTAGAACAAGCTGGAAAGGCTGATGAAGAAAGGGAAAGAAACAACGGCAAGCGGTTCTTAGGGGATTTGCATGGGATTCCAGTGTTGTTGAAGGACAGTATAGGGACTAAAGATAAGTTGAACACAACTTGTGGGTCATATGCTTTGGTGGGATCAGAGGTTGCTCGTGATGCCCACGTGGTGGAGAAGTTGAGGAATGCTGGTGCTGTGATTCTAGGGAAGGCCAGTCTTAGTGAGTGGTATAGTTGTAGGTCTTTTGACATTCCTGATGGTTGGTGTGCTAGAGGTGGCCTAGCTAAGGTTAATTTCTTTCATTCTTTCTTTATTAATTTTGAGAAACATTAATGGCTGTGCAATTTGAGATTTTCCCTCTTAGAATTTTTAGATACTTATAATTGATAGTGGGAAAAAGGTTCAATATTGAGTAGCATTTGTTGATTTTATGTGGCTTATAATTTATAACTCTTGCATTGGATTCCACAATATTGAGTAGCATTTGTTGATTTTATATGGCTTATAATTTATATTGGATTCTAGGTTTGGTGAAACATAAGGTACCGGTAGAGATTTTATTAAGTTCTTTCTAGCCTGGCTCTGTTTGGTTATGAGTTATGACTTGTGTACTGTTAAAAAAATAATGTTATGAATACAATGTTGTATTGTTATTAGTTTGCATAATAATGGAATCATCAGCCTTTTGATTCATGTACTGATTTTGTTGTTTTGGATAAATGTGTTTCTTGCATCAATTCAATCAGTTGGTGAATCAAACATTGCCATGTGAGATGATAAACATCAGACAAAACCAACTCTTTGTGGAAATGTGCAGAATCCTTATGTCGAATCAGCAGATCCATGTGGTTCTTTGTGGAAATGTGCAGAATCCTTATGTTGAATCGGCAGATCCATGTGGCTCAAGCAGTGGATCAGCAATATCAGTGGCTGCAAATATGGTGGCAGTATCACTAGGGACCGAAACTGATGGTTCTATCATCTGCCCTGCTGATCACAACTCAGTTGTTGGGCTCAAGCCAACAGTTGGCCTCACTAGTCGGGCTGGTGTCATCCCAATTTCGCCTCGCCAGGACACCATTGGGTAAGCCAGCCAATTGTCACATTTCTTTTAATCTTGAAAACTTGTAATGATGAAGTCACAAGAGAAGTCATTTTGGTTCTGTTGGCTAAACGCTGTAGGTATTAGAATTTATGAACCATCTTCGCTGTAGTTTCTTGTAATGGTACAACTGCAAGATGCGAATGCAGTGCTGGTCAAATAACATGCATATTTTGGATGCTGACATGCACACATTACCTTTTCTTTCTGCAATCCTCTTTTGAAGAGAGGAGCTCAGAAACAGATAGTGAGATCAACAGGTTGAATGTTAATGTAACTTTTCATTTACTTATTGAGTTGGTATTAACTGATGAATTTTTATACCAACAAAAAAATGAAGGCCTATATGCAGGACAGTGTCAGATGCGGTGTATGTGCTTGATGCAATTGTTGGTTTTGATCCAAGAGACTCTGAAGCAACAACCAAAGCTGCTGAGTTTATACCTGCTGGTGGTTACAAACAGTTTCTGAAGAAGGATGGGCTCAAAGGGAAGAGAGTGGGCATAGTGAGAAATCCATTTTTGGACTCCTTCAACGACAGCATAGTGAGAAATCCATTTTTGGACTCCAACGATTCGACTGTTATCTCAACATTCAACCACCATCTGGAAGTGTTAAGGTTAGTGTCATGCAACAATGATGACAAGTACTACCTACATGGACAAATCACACATTAATCTGAGTTATCTGACACTGCACTTATGCTCAAATTTGACTTGGATATTATAGGCAAGGTGGTGTGAATATAGTGGATAATCTTCAAATAGACAATATCGATGTCATTTTGGATCCATATCGAAGCGGCGAGGTAATTGTAATGCTAGCTGAGTTCAAGCTCACAATCAAACAGTACCTTGAAGAACTAATAAAATCTCCTGTGAGGTCATTGGCAGACATCATCGCGTTCAACAACAATAATCCTGATCTGGTAAGCAGTTTCTATGATCATGCTTTACCAAGAAAATCAAATAGGCAGAAGAACTTAGCTCACTATAGAACGTGGTTAAACCAATTTGCAACATCTTTTGGCCCTTGATTTATGCTCTCCTATCAGCAAGGAGATCTCTCCATGCTTCACACTGAAAATGATGCATTGGAAATTTTTCTGTCCAATTGCAAATTTACCATGCTGGGAGTTTTAGTTGAAACCATTAGGCGTTCAAGTGAACTATCCTATAAAAGATTTTTCAGTGATATAACCACATTTTTTGATTTTATAGCCGATTCCAATCAGTTTGGGATTGAGGCTTTGCTGTTGTTGTTGGTCTTTGATTTTAAGACATGGCATGCCATTGAGAACTGCAGGAAAGCATGAGCAAGTATGGTCAGGAACTACTCATTGCTGCGGAGATGACAAATGGGCTTGGAGAGGAAGAGATGAAGGCAGTGAAGTTAATGGAACAACTATCAGAAGAAGGATTTGAAAAGATGATGAAAGAGAATGACTTGGATGCCATGCTGACACTCGGTGTGGACGTTTCTACAGTGCTATCTATTGGAGGGTACCCTGCACTTACAGTCCCAGCTGGGTATGACAGCAAGGGAAAGCCATTTGGGATCTGTTTTGGAGGATTAAAGGGAATGGAACCAAAGCTGATTGAGGTTGCTTATGCTTTCGAGCAGGCTACCCTGTCTCGCAAGTCTCCTCTCTCCTTCTCTTTGGACTTGAAACAAAAACCCTGTCTCTCTAAATTATGATTTTCTTTTTCTGTATGAATGTAACAAAAATATGCTGCTGCCTGTAGCATTGCATGCATCAACTCTCTCTCCCTTCCCTTGTCTCTCGACTAGAATGAAAAGTTTCAACTCTTGAACTTCTTTCCACCTCGGACACTGACTCTGAGTATGATATTGCTTATTTTCTTTAACTAATGAAGTAACTGACTGCTCCTTCCCAAGCAACTTGATGGTATTGGAATCAGGAGTGCTCCTTATCATAGTTATGACATGGCCTGGGGTTTGACTTGGCCATGGCTTTGGTTAGGGGTTAGCTGGGTTAATTTACACGAGGATAGATTAGCTCAATTTTTTAACCAAAACGACCTGAACTAGGAACTGGGTGATAACTATTTAAGAAAACATTACTCGGATCCGAGGCCCGTGTATCAGCAAGTTTGATTATTATTATTATTATTATTATTATTAACAATAACATCATCAGCAGGGAATATTGCTGGGCATGACCATTATGACAAGACATGTAAAATGACAAAAATTTCCGTAGTTGCTCATTTTTCAAGGAAAAAAATAATGGTGATTTTCATATATTGGTTAAGCCCATAGCAATTTCTTCGCATAACACAGTATGTATTACTAAGAAATACTTTAAAATTAGTGGGAAAATACAGTTCTTTTCACTACTATTCATCAAAAAATAAATTATTATGGATTCTCCTAGTTATTCATTTTTTTTAGTCTATTTTTTTATTACACCTTTTAGGCCTAAATTAATAGCCAATTAAATCATATTTATTAAGAAATAACAAGATTCGACTAAGATTAAAAAAACTGTAAAGAGAGATGATTTTTTTAAAACTTTGGTATATATATATATATATATATATATATTTTTGTCCTCTAACCTTTCAAATTATAAAATTTTAGTTCTTAACAATTTATAAAATTAAAT